ACACATCAGCTCACAACTACCTGCAACTCCAGCTCCACAGGCACACAAAACACAAGTCTCCACGTATGCCTCAACACACGTGTGCACATAATTAAAAATAATAAAAGTAAATCTTTAAAAACAAAAATAAGTGAAAATAAACCCAAAATAAACAATACACCAAGGGCAATGACTAAAGAACATGTTCATGCAAAAACAAACAAACAAACAAACAAACAAACAAAAAACCCATCATCTAAAACCATGATGGATTCTAATGAGTATTCCTTACATGGAAACACTCCACCCACAATGGGGCTTCTTTAGAGTCAGTTTTGTTTTAAGACAAAGTCTCACATAGCACAGGCTGGTCTTGAACTCTATATAACAGGTTGTTCTTGAACCCTGATCCTCCTGCCTTTACCTCCTAAGTGCTGAAGCTTCAGGCTTATGCCACCAACTTCAGCCCATTGTGCTTTATTCTTTTACTTCATTGCTACAAAACGAGGAAGCCACCAACTCCTGCCGAGTCTAGCTGCACCCTTCCCTGCCCCTTTCTTTCTGTATGTGTGTTGTGCTCATGTGTACATATATGTGTTTGCATATATGCAGACAAGTGTGAATGCACATGCGAATGTGCGCCTTCATGTAAAGGCCCAGAGTTGATACTGGATGTCTGGATGGCTCCCATGTTGTTTTATTTTATTGTGACAAGGTTTCTCAACTGAACTCAGAGATCACCAGCTAGTCTAACAGCTAGTCTAACTTGCCCTGGGGCTCCCCTGTCTGTCTCAAAATGTTCGGACTGTTTTTATGAGGGCTCTGGGGATCGAACTCTGGTCCTCATACTGTGTGGCAAGGGCTTTACCTACTGAGCCATCTCCCCAGTCCTCTGGACCTTCCTCTACCCAGCACATCTCACCAGACCTTGAAGAATTTGAGTATCACTTAATATCTGTTGCCTCAGAGAACCAAAACAACACACATACACACACATATGTACACACACTCACACACATAGACACATACAGATACACATAAAGTCATACACAAACATAGACACACATGAACACAGACACACCCCGCCCCCAAACTGGAACTCACAGGTTCCAGAATTCCAACAACCACCAGTCAACACTAGGACTAAAATTATAGTGAAAAGGGTAGGTTACAAAATAGGATTACTCTATGCCAATCGTCATAAATACTAACATATAAACAAATACTCAGGCTACAACTATAAAGAAAAATGAGACAGTAATAGCCTTTACTTGGGAATCCAGTCTGCTTAACAACTGTCCGTGTGAGCACCCATGTGCATGGAAATCATACCAGATGCCGACCAGAGAACTGGGGGTTTCCCTGAAAAGAATCAGGAATCGGTTTGCTGAATGCATGCAAGGTCCAGACAAGGAGCTCTGATGCAATGTAAAACTGTGTCCAGGTGAGAGCAGCAAGAGTTTCTTGCTTCCCGAGCTAAAGACCAAGTGCAGAACCATCTGGGCCAAAGAGAACTGGAGTGAGCACAGACAACAAGAGCAGCTGAGGAAAATACTCCAAAGAACTGTTGATGGCAGAGCTGGACTAGGAATGAATATCCCCAATGAGCTGAGTCCCCAGGCATCCGGTGCTGCACTCAGTAGGTCCAAACCACACACCACCCTGGGAAGAGCCAGGGTCTTTGTGTTAACTTCTCATCTGGTTTAGTTTTGAGCTTCTAACCTGCTGACCAAGGAGTACCTGTTTATTATTACCTAGACTTTCCCTGGGGATCCCATTACTGGAAGATTTTGGTCTTTTGGGCAATATTTATGAAAGAGAATTTTTCACATTTATTGGTCCAAGTCACAGGTGACTGCCAAACAGCTCGCTAATCTGTAGGAACCCACCAACGTGGCCTCAGGAATGCAGATGTGCTGGTTTCCGGCTCAGGCGGCCTGAAAGCAGAACAGCTGCCCTTTGTCTGCTGGGAAGAATGGAGTCCTGCGGGGCCCCGTCCCCTCTCCCAGGCTCCTGGTGAGGACTGCTGGGGGAGCCAACCTTCCTTTCACACCCAAGGGCACAGCTCATGACACTACAGGCAGGAGGGCAACAAGCTCCAGGACATACACAAAGAAGCAATGTGCTGAGAACGTGCTGTCATGGAAGGCTGAGGCACTGAGGGAAGTCTTCTAGGAAGGAGGCCTGGTCGGTAGAAACGAACTCTTCTAAAGCCATGCCAAGTTTACTGTGACATGGAGACAACGTGCCACCTACCAGCCCTTTATCTGCTACAGTCCAAAGAACACAGTAGGTGGAAAATATCCACTGAGCTACTATCGTGGCCAGGCACAGTGGTGCGTCCCTGCAATCCCAGCAATTTGGGAGGCTGAGTCAGGAGGACTGCTATGAGTTCAAGGCCCAAACCCAAACAAACCTAATTATTTGGCTTTAACAAAATGTGGAAGTTACATTGCATGTGTCCAGGAAGGCAAGACTCCATTCTTCTACTTCCCGTATTGTTAAGGCCAGAAACATAACCAGTCCCATCTTGTCTTCCAGGACAAGCTATGGCGGCCTCAGACCAGACATCCATTCGTCTCTCAGGGACAGCTGCTGAGGCAGGGCAGGAGGTGGACAGGTGTAGAAGGATCCCAGGCAGATCCTAAGGACAGTGCAAAGCCACAGTGTATCACTGAGCTGGACTCCCCTCTTCTACCCAAACATTAGAACCTAGCGTAGCAGACAAGTTTTGGTAGTCTGCTGGGCACCTGTTTCCCAGATTCTTGTCTGCGGAATCTCTTCACCATTCCACAGCTTGAAGCATCACCTCTACATGGTAATGCCTGGATCTGTCTCTCCAGCTCACACGTCTCTCCTGAACCCCAAGCACGTACCTCATCTCCATGCACACTATGTGATCTGTCCCCATGGGAGCATCCTGTCAAGCAGGGGGCAGAAATGCTCCTTTGTAACTGTCCTCTCCAGCTGCCCAGGCCCTATGTTTCCTTCTCAGTAATTGCCTACCATGGGCCACAGATGTGGAAGAGAGAGAGAGGAAGGGGAAGAGAGAGAGAGAGAGAGAGAGAGAGAAGCAAAACTGCTGATGGTCAGGGTAGCAAACACAGTATGCCAGTAAGATGTGCACACTTTTTATTCCAGCCAACTGTCTGCGAGTAAGAGGGTCCTGAGGGGGAAAAAAAAAGTCAGTTAGCTTTTTCCAGTTCGTGGAAAGATGCCATTTGGGCTGGAAGTGGCCTGTTAGGAAGGGAATGTCCTAGCCCTGAAGGGGCAGGATAGGGCCAAGGCAATGGGTGTCCCAGAGCTGTGTGCTGTGGACAGTCTTGTCTACCTGCCTAGCTGCTCTACAGAGATTTTCCACGTGTCCACGACACTAGAAGATTGGGAAACACTGTCTAGATTACAATAGCCTCTCTGTTTCCAGCCCTTCTCTGTTGGCAGAAAAACAAGCTTGAGTCTCTCCCCTTCCCACCTCTAAGTCAGCATGTTTGCTCCACCCAACATCCTCCTTGGCCCATGGGCCCTACTTGGCAAGGTCACTATAGGCTGCTCGTCAATACGGGACCAGGGACAGGCTGGTTTACTGGCCAGGTGCCCAGCACAAATGACTCTGCCCACTAAAGGGACCAGTCATTAGATATGCCAATCAGCCACCTCCTTTCAGATTTCAGCTGGCACTGTGCAGTTGGGGCCCCTTCCACCACATATAATTATACATTACGAACACAACAGCTCAGTTCTCACACAGTTCCAACAAAGAAGTGCCACTATCAAACTCAACTCGAAATCCTGCGCTATCTACAAAAGGTCAACCGGATATTAACTGTTAAGTCCAGGAAGGGCCAAGTCAGTCAACAAACACAACTGAATATTATCATAACCATTAAGAAAAAGGAAAAAAAAAAAAACAAAAACCACCCGTGGCCTACACAAATACTGTTCCCTGTAGATGTAGGGCAGTGGCTCTCAGCCTTCCTAATGCTGAGACCTTTAATATAGTTCCTCATGTTGTGGTGACCCCCAGCCACAAAATTACTTTTGTTGCTACTTCATAACTGTAGTTTTGCTACTGTTATGAATCATAATGCGGATATCTGATATGGGACCCCTACGGAGTCGAAACCCACAATTTGAGAACCACTGCTCTCGGGGGAGAATCTGTCCTACCCCTTCCTGTTTCTGGAGCTAGCTCATTGGCTCATGGCCTTTTCTTCCATCTTAACCACCTGCCACGAAATAGCTTCAAATTGTTCTCTGTACAGGGTCTCCCACTGTGCCATCATTGGTCTGTGGGCGGAAACGTCTTCCTTACCCTCTCTGTCCCCACAGCACTCATGACTGTACTGGGCCTGGGCAATCCCAGTGCAGAGCATCCTTTGTGTTCTCACCTCTGCAAAGACCTTTACCACGTGTAAAGACTTCTGGGCTCCAGAGATTAGGGCTGCTCTCTTTGGGGGCTACACAGCAGATACAAATATCTTCAGGCTGAGGGTGCGGCTCCGTCGGTAGGGTGCTGGCCTAGAACGCATGAGGATGTGGGTCCCAGCCCCAGCATCGTGTAAGACCCTACAATCTCAACACTACAAAGGTGAGAGGTTAGAGGACTGACGATGCAAGGTCGGGACTGGGGATGGCTCAGCGGGGGAAGTGTTTGCTCCACAAGGCTGGGAACTTGAGTCCAGATCTCCAGAACCCGTAAGCCAGACATGGGAGCAGCAGACATCTGAAATCCCAGCACTCCTCCAACCAGATGGGACGCAGGGACAGGAGAATCCTGCGACACTGAGCCGGGCAGCGATAGCAAAATGACAAGAGCCGCTGTCTCTCACAAGCTGGAAGGTGAAGACTGACTCGAGGTTTTCCCCTGACCTCCACATTCAAGCTGGCATACACATAGCTGCACCCCATCTCTCTCTCTCTCTCTCTCTCACACACACACACACACACACACATACGTACACAAAGATTAAAATGATAAAAAATATAATCATAGTAATTTCTTCAATGGGTTCAAATCTTACTTTCTCTCAGGAACGGCCTTGCCTGACTCTTCACGCACGCGTCTCATCTGAGGTGAGGGTCACGGTATTGGCTCCTCCTCTTCTCGACTCCCCAGCGTTGGCTACTTTGTGCAGGTGGAGTTAGGCTTTATTCTAGAATGCCACCCACACTTGCAGCCTGGGCTGATTCAATGACACCTACTAGTCTCCATTCCCTCTGATGAGCACAGAGCTCCCGAGGCCTCCAAATGAAGGCCCAGCTGCAGCCCCCGCCACCCACTCCCACCCTTATCTGATGGGTGGGCTCAGCTAACAGACCCTAGGGGGATCTGTAGGCTGGACTGCCTTCCTCTTGCTTTCTCTGACGTTGCCTTTTCTCCCCTTGTTCTTTGCCATCCTGAAATTTGTTACAATCTCTCAATTGCTGTTAATTCCCTCTTAGTCACTTGGCTACCCTGGGATTATATTTTCCTAATCTCTTTATTATCATTTTAATGGGTTCTGGGTAGAGAAGGTATAAATGCGCCCAAGATGAATCCTCCATCTTGAACCCTAAGTTAATCTTTAATTTTTCAGTTATGCTTAAAAGATAACAGACATTCTGTTCTAAGTCCAAAGGCTCCTGTCAGGGCTGAACGTGGAGACTGGCAGGTTCAGATGCTCACCCAGTCTGCCAACTGGCCCTGCCTCCAACACGGAGCCCTTCCATGGGTGAGCACCACTGCCTGCCACAGATCAGTCAGCACACGCTAAGAACTGGCCAGCCACATGAGGCCTTCCTCTTTCCAGGATTTGTTTTCAAGCAAATTAGTTCTTCCTTCTAATGCTGGAGACAGACATTTACCAGGGCACTGCTAAGGAACACCTTCCACAGGTTCCATCGGCCTCGGAGAACCTTTTTACTCAAAGGCAAAGATGGTATGATATGTCCCTGCTTTACAAAGGCTCGAGTTTAAAAATAAACATGGGCATTTGAAGGAACACAAAAATAGTCTGTGCCCTCGGCTCTACAGAGCCCAGTGGCACTAGGTGCATGCTGGCTCGAAGGACACCCAGAGAGGCCAAATCTGACACAAAGCCCTCACGGACCTCAAACAAGTGAGAAATCAGAGATAGGAGCCGTTGTGTGTTGGGCTCCTTCATGCCATTCAGGGCCATCCATGCCCAGCTCTCTCCAGCCACAGGCGTCCGCCCTGTTGCTCTATTCATCAAACAGTTGTAAAGACAGCCCCGGAACCTGAAACCCTAGTCATCACCCAACTCGGTCTCCACCTGCCTTTGAGGTCTCCTCCTTTTCAATCTCTGTATTCAGCCAACAGGCTTAACACAATTGAAGCTTCATACGGGCTACACCTGACTTTCCATGAGCTGTCCCTCCCCAGGAATGCCTTTTTCACAGCACCCCCAACCATCCCAGCCCCCCTGGCCAAAGCCCTACCATACTTCAAGGCTAGCACAAATTAGTCACATCTCCCATCAGAACTGGCAGTCTGTGAGTTCTCTTGTTGAAGCTTAATTTTCTGTGCATTTTCTGTGGCCCTTGTGTAGCGTTCTGCCTTCTCTCAGAGTAGCTTTAGGTATAGCCCTTCAATAATCCTATGAACATCCCCCCCCCTTAGGCAAGGACCAGATCAGATCTTTTCTGTGGACCCCGAAGTACGTCAGGAGAGGAAGTGTGGGGCTAGAGAGGTGGTTCATCGCATAAAAGTGTTTCTTGCTCTTGCGGAGGAGGCAAGTTCTCAGCATCCATGTAAGACAGCTCACAACTACCTCTAACTCCGGCTTCAGAGGGCTGCAACACCCCTGGCCTCCACGGGCTCCTGCACTCCTGTGCACATACCTACCTACATGCACACAGTTTAGACTAATAAAAAAGAAACCTTACAGGGGCTTGAAGGTGATGCCTTGACCGAAGCCAATACTTATATGGCCTGGAGAAACCAATACCAAGCTAGCAGGCCCCTACGTAATTCCAGAAGTCAAGCAAGCGGCCCCTTTCTGTATGGTATCAGGACCTGAGAACCCTTTTCTACAGCAGAACTGTAGCCTGTGCAAGCACACAAGCACTCGAGTGGACACACATGGGCATGCTGGAGTGCCCTGACCCTCTCAGCTCCAAGTATCGAGGACCCTAGTCTGAGCGTCCCCGCTGGAAATCTACTCCCCGTGTCCCGCACTGTGGCCTTTCCCACTGTGCCCTACCTGGCCTGGAGGAAGCACAGCTGACTGGGTAGACACATAGGCTATCATGTGTCATACATGTCGTTTCACAGCCAGATTCAAGACGGATGGACACCCAAAGCTGTGTCAACAGAGCGACGGGAGGGAAGGGCACACAGAGAGAGGGAGAGGAGATGGCCACACCACCTACCAAGGCTCTGTTCGGATATCTCTAGAGGATTTGAAATGACCCAAAAGCAAAGAATCACATGGTTTCCTGTGACCCTGTGGACGCACTGACTGCTGAGCCGATAACGTGTCCTGACCTCCATACTGGTTCTTCTCAAATGCCTTTTCTCTTTTGGAAAAGGCTGGGTCCCCGGCTGCCAGCAGGAAGGTCCAGACAGCTGGGGCTCGTGTGCCCTGGCTGCAGTCCGGCTCAGAACAGCCCGTGCCTGTTCCCGTGAACTAAGGGCATGTCACCCAGCTCCTCCACGGGGCCAGATGGTCTGTGCGTGCCAACATGTTCCCACTTCATTTTTACCTTCTCAAAGCACACTTTAAATGTCTGTCCTCAGATTCGCCTGTTTCCAAGCACATTTTATCTTGGGTTGCAGGGTAGCTCTATTCTTCTCATCAGGAATCTGTTTTCTAAATAGAAAAGGCCTTGCCGTGGACCTATAGCAATGCTGAGACCCACCCTACCAAGGGCTCAGCAGTGTTTTGGAAGCGGTAGCTTCTAAAGATTGCAATGTTTACCAGTCATTTCTTATGTGGTGGGCACCGTGCTGGCCACTGGCAAACACTTGACCTCTCCTAATCTTTCCAACAGACTAGCACCGTTGTTTATGTTGCAGAGGAAATCAGCTAAGTGAAAAGATTAAGTAACCTGCTCAAAGCCCTCAATGGTGGTGCACACCTTTAATCCCAGCATTCAAGAGGCAGAGGCAGGTGGATCTCTAAATTTGAGGCTAGCTGGTCGAGAGAGCTACTTCCAGGATGGCCCGGGCTACACAGAGAAAGCTTGTCTCAAAAAAAAAAAAAAGTACTTTGTTCAAGTTCATACACTTTCATTATATAATGGCCCCTGTATCACCTAATCCCCGTGCTGCCTCAGGCTCCCTTTACAGCTCTCTGTTCCATTGTGTGTATCTCGTTATGCTCAGGCCCTTGTCCTACCTACCCTCCTTCCAGACCCTCAGCCGGTGCCCTCCTCCTTTTTCAAGAAGAAGCGCTCTGGAGAAATCCAGCTGGTTTCTGAGTAAACAGTTGATCTGTGTGCATCATTCCAGGCCAAAAGTGATGGTCCTCAAGTCCTGAGTCATCACGGGATCGTCAGTCGGAGGCCCTCCCCGCTGCATCAACTTCCAACACCTCCGTTCCTGCCCTCACTTCTTGCTGGCTTGGGCTCCTGAGTCACCATTCTTCTCTCCTGCACCATCCTTCTTTTGAGTCTTGGTGATTTCTGTGTGCACCCAGATGACCCTTCCAACCGGCCTTTTAGACTTGAACTTCTCCCTGCCTCTCAGCCTCTCGTAAGGCTGTCCTAACCTGTCATGAACAATAACTCCAACCCACCTACAATCTCCACTTCCTTGATACCTCTCTCCGAAACTGGTGCATATTTTCCTGTCCATCCCAGGGCAATAACAACAACACAGTGAGGTTTGGTGGCTTATAAAGAATGGAAATTTTACTTCTCGCAGTTCTGTAAGTTGGGGAGTTCAGGATGGAGGTGCCAGCAGATTTGCTGATGTGGAGGGTTCTTCTTTCTGGTTAACAGGTGACACCTTCTAGCTGTGGTTCCTTATGGTGAAAGGGTCAAGGCAGTTCTTTGAGACCCCTTTTCACAGCATCAGTTCCTTCCTGAGAGTTCTGTGCTCACGACCTAATCCCTTCTCAAAGGTTCCACCTCCCTACACCATCACATCGGTGACAGGGTTTGCAGAGATACAGCAAGTGATTCAGAATTTAGCGTACACAGCCATCCTGCCAGCTCGGCCCTGCTCCCGGTCACCCACACCTGCCTGGTATTCCTTCTAACACCATGTCACAGGACTTGCCCCCCTCTCCATGCTTTCATTTACTCCGTGCTTCATTAGAATGTCTGTTCCACCAGGGCAGGGGTGGCTTCCTAACTTGCCTGACTTCCTGATACCACAAACAACACAGAACAAAACCCAGCGAGAGACTTAATTACAATCGAACAGTCACTACACAATTATTTGCAACCCATTTTCCTGCTATACTGTAAGGCAGGGGTTCTCAACCTGTGGGTCCTAATCCCTTTGGTTATGACATAATCAGATATCTTGCATATCAGATGTTAAACATCACAATTCATAACGGGTCACCAAGACATGAGCAACTGTAAAGGGTCGCAGCATTAGGAAAGCTGAGAACCTCTGCCGGGTCTACAAGGACAGGCCACGTCTGTCTCTGTCAACACTAAAGGTACACAGTAAATACCAACTGGCTAAGTGGGTGGCTGGAGGCTCTAAGAAGGGCATGGCCAGGCCCAATCTGCTGCTCTTGCAAGCCTAACCTCCTGCTGGGTGTCTCAGGAGCAGCTGTCTTTACCTGCTGCCACTTGAATGTAAACAACCCAAATGAAGCTCCTGACTCGGATAAGACCAAGTACAAAACACCAGAGGCCTCTGGGTCATCGAATGTGTGAGCCCAGGCCTGCCTCAGCCGTGCAAATACTTGATCCCAAGGACGGAGGGCAACTAACGCCAGTAAGTTAGAGGCTACCTGAAATTTCCCTTCTGAACACAGAGCTCAGAAGGCCTCAGCTGTGAATTTCCCCCAGCAACAAGCACTCAGCAAGATCCCATCTAGGCATCAAGTGACATGAATTCAGAGTCTGAGATCCTCACCAACTGCACTCATGATCCACTCGGGTCAATTTACCGCCTGGTGGAGAAATCGAGTAATTTTTTTTTTTTTCAAGCTGTGCAAAGAGAAGCTAAGGCCTCAAAC